CGGATCCCGACACATTCCGGGAACCGGGGCCGGTGGGGGGCCGGCAGCCGTGGTGAAGTCCCAGGTCCTCGACGTGCGGCCTCCGCTCCCCAGCTCGGCTCAGGGGCACTCAGATCGGGGCAGGGCCTCACCGGTCCGTGTCACAACCTCAGAGGATTCCATGCCGCACCTCCTGGTCCTTCGGGAAAGGGGGTTAAAGAAACCTCCACCGGTCGGGCCTCGTGAAACCGCCCCACGGAGACCCCCGGCCCCGGCCTCGGCCCCACTCGGCGTTAACCGTCACAACAGGCCGGGCCCGAGGGGCTTTGCAGGCTCCGTCGCCCAGGCCGCGGCCGGACAGCTGTCCTCCATCCAGCCCTTGGGTTCCTAGACGGGAAGACAAGACCTGGTCGAGAGAAAACCAGAAAATAGAGGAATCCCAGAGCTTGGGCGGCTGGGATTGCAGAATCCTGCCCGCCCGCCCCTTCCAGGGAAAGACTCAGTGTGAAACGTGCTCGTTTAACAAATTAGAATAATTTCTAGGACCAGGACCAGGGCTGACTTTAAAAAAATATATATATATATATATTTTAATTTTAGACCCTAAACAGGGTCTTTTCGGCAATTTATAGTGAAGTTTTAGCAACCATTCTCCCTAAATTCCTGTGAGATGGCAAACATTACTCTGACCTTTTAAAGAGGAAGAAAAAGTACTTAGTGTCATAGTGGAAAATCTGTGATTTTTTTTTTTTGTAATAAAAAGAATGAGCTATTAAATCTGCATTTGTAATATTCTAATGAATAACGATGCATTGTTAATGAATTCAAAACTCTTCAGAACAAATGGACGGACTTGGTTTGTGTTGGGGGGAAATGCAAAAGGCCAGGAAGTTTGGTATTCAGACATAATTTGTTGCCATAGTTGTGATTACATAAGTATAATCAGATTTAAAGACAGTAAGTCCTCTTTGGTGAATCTCTAGGTACAATAGGCAGTTCCTTCCAAGAAGATGTCGATTCCATTCTCCAACACCCACTACCGAATTCCACAAGGATTTGGGAATCTTCTTGAAGGGCTGACACGTGAGATTCTGAGGCAGCAACCGGAAAATATACCATCTTTTGCAGCAGCATATTTTGAGGATCTTCTAGAGAAGAGAGAGAGTAAGCTTTAAAAAAAAATATATAGGCATTTAAAAAAAAAGGAGAGAGAGAGACTTAAGTACTTGTTTATGGTGAAACTTGCGTAAGACCATCCCTATTCCCCAGAAAGCCTGTAGGAGGCAGGTGGCTTCAGTTGTTGGTGTTTGAAACAACATACCTGCCTTTTGGGCAGGTTCTCTCGAATCACATTATTGAAGATGACCAGTTGATTACCCAGACCTTCTTGGTTGTATTTCTCGGGCACAGGCTGGGTGGACGGTGACCCCACGAGGTCATCTAGGATAGGTCTCCATTTCCCAGCAGGCCGTTCCCATACACCCAAGGCAGTGAGTGCAGTTTGTGGTTTTCTTTACATTTTTTCTCTTTTTACTTGAAGGTATTATAAGTATGGTAAAAAAATAATAATAATCCTACACATCTTATATTACATAAATTGGTATTTGCTGAGGGATATGGAACTGCCCTACAATAAAGGCACAGAGAAAACGTGCTTTGAAAAGTGAACTTCCATCTTGGGAAGGTAATTTATATGCTTTTTCTGGTCTCGCTAGGTTCCATCCTGCTCAGAGACTAAGATTCAGGCTAACCCTGACTCTTTAGTTGAGAGCCAAAGCAATTTCTTCACTTTCATAAATAAGATTTCCAGATGCCCCACCTTGAAGGTTCATGACCATCAAGACCCTACCTAATGGTCAACATGGGGGTTATTACAGCTATTAATGTCTATTTAAAACATATAACTAGAGCCACCGTTTTTAATATAAGCAATTATCATTACTTTTGATTACAGTATTCCAACAGAGCGGTAAAGGTGCCTAGAGAAACAGCAAATAAATAAACATTCCATTTTAAATCTTTTTAGAAGGAGGAAACACAAGGCTTGCATTGAAACAACTCCCATACACACTGCATAGCTCTCCACCCCCTGTCTTCTTTGCTGTACCCTGGCAGAGCTCAAAATCTCTGCCAGTTTCCTGAATGTTGCTCATCTTTTCCATATCCAGTCACTGACTATTTGTTGCACAATCTGAAACTTAAGTGCCACTTAAAAGCTATTGAGAGAAATCCTTTAGGGTAACAAACATTAATTTTGTTGTTATAACTTTATTTTATAAATTAATGAGTAAAATGTCTTTAGTCATTTATTTAAATTTAGACCTTAAAAACATGCTATTACAAAACATTTGAGTCATTGTTACTGGATCATAATTAAAGCAATTGGTGATTCAGAGTAATGGTCTCAGAATACTAACTCGAATAAAAATGGGTAAGACTATTTGAAAAATTTGAAAAAGTTTGAAGCATCATACCCATTTTCACTCATGTAACCAAAGCTGAGTTTTCTACCTGATACAAGTATTGGGATTTAGTTTCTCCAAGTGGCAGAATGAAGTCCTCTAGGCCAGTCTCTCACACAATGCAAGAATTTCCTTACCAGCATTCCTCATAGGTAATTACTAGTCTTAATTTTTATTTTTGTGACAGGAAGCATGTTAGTAAATTAAATAAGTGGCATCTTAAAATCACTAGACAAAAGGGGGGGCTTTTATTAAATGATATAATAAAGATGGAAAAAGATAAAATTTGATCTATTCCTTACATGATACACCAGGATAAGTTCCAAATTGATCAAACATTTAAATATTTTAAAAAATGAAACCTATAAATACTAGAAGAAAAAATGGATAACTTTTCTCTATAACATAAAAGGGGGGGGGGGGACTGCTAGCCAAGTTGCTATAATTACTTTAAAAATCCAAGAGCAATTAGGGAAAAGATGGAGATAAAATTGACAATATTACATGACAAAAATTGCCGTAAGGAAAATAAAACTACAATGACAAACTGAGGAAAAAATGTTTGCAATTTATATCTCAACTGGTTACTCAACCTAATAAATAAACAGCTTGTAAAAACAGTGAGAAAAAAAGCCCAACAATGCTATATAAAAAAATGGGCAAGTGATATGAGTTTACACAAAAATAAATGCAAATGGCCCTGGCCAGTTTGGTTCTGTTGAGTATCATCCCATGGCACCAAGAGGCCGCTGGTTCGATTCCCATTCCAGTCACATGCCAGTAGGGGGCATGCAGGAGACAGCCAATAGATGTTACTCTCTGCATCTCCCCTTCTCTCTTAAATCTATTTTTTAAATATTTTTAAAAATAAGTGCAAATGGCCCTTAATATATTAAACCTACCTAAATTAACCCATAATAATAGAGGCCCATATCAAAACTACACTAAGGTACCACCACCCCACCACCACTACCAACCCTACTCATCAGATTGGCAAAAAGCCAAAAGTTTGCCAATTCTAGTTTGATACAATCCCACGGAGGGGAAATGGCAATGACCCAGAAATTCCACTTCTTCACTTTTCATTCCATTGTTATTTGAGGAAGCAACCCAAATACCCATAATAGGCATTTGTTGAATAAACTAGAGTACATCTACACAATAGAATAATATACAGCTTAAAAAAACAATGAGGAAGATTTCTATATGATGCTATGGAGTGATCTTCAAGATATATTAAGTGAAAAAAGTAAGGTGGAAAAAGCATGTGTAGTATGCCATTATCTAATAAAGGAGTGTTAATATGAATACATAGCTGTTATTTATATTTTAAATCTTTTTAAATGACATTTACCTCTAGAGAGAGAAGGAACAGAGTGGAGGGAACAAGATAGAAGCTAGATTTCTCTGAATATACCTTTGAGTTTGAAATCATAAATGTTAACATAGTTATAAAATAGAATAAAATTTAAAAATTGTTAATTTCTAAAATTTAGAAGCAAAGTGCAACAGACAAACCTAACTAGTATTGAATGGGTAGCATAACCAAACAGATACAAATTATTTCAGGTGACTTTATGACACAATAATTTGTACATCCCTGATGGTTTTAGCCTTAAAACAAAATGAATTTTAACATATCTTAAGTTATTTTTAGTAATTCTTGTTAATATTATAATACAGTTATCCTATAATTATTTTTTTACAATTGTAGGACATAGCAAATACGTAACTCTCCTACTGTAATTAGGAATAAGATTTTTAATGTAAGAAAAATGATTTACAAATATAAAGTTGATAAGATCCTGTAATCTTAAATTTGAACTGAAAATTTAAAATATAAAAATAAAGTTATCTATAATAATAAAAGTGTAATATCCTAATTAGAACAGACGTCCTTCCAGATGATCTTCTGAACGAAGCTGGGGCTGAGAGGGCCAAGGCAGCCACCTCCTTTGCCTCAGGCTGAGCCCCTTGCACAAATTTCGTGCATCAGGCCTCTAGTATAAATATAAAAATAAATGTATTATGTATGTAAATAAAGTAAATAAAATCCTGTAATCCTAAGTTTGAATTAAAAAATATCAGTGTCACCTCGTGATATATTATATAATTTTTTTAATAAAAGAAGTGCCCTGGCCAGTGTGGTTCAGTAGCGTGTTGGCCTATGAACCAGGAGGTCAGGGTTCAATACCCAATCAGGGCACATGCCTGGGTTGCAGACTCAATCCCCTGTGGGGGGCACGCGGGAGACAGCTGATCGATAATTCTCTATCATTATTGATGTTACTATTTCTCTCTCCCTCTCTCTTCCTCTCTCTGAAATCAATAAAAACATAAAAAATAAAATAAGTGGTTTTTTAGTTCTATACATTTTCATAAAAGGCCTCAAAACAAAGACCAACCTAGTACTAGTGAATACCTGGCCCCTACACTATAGGCTCTAATTGCCATTTCCCCAGGAAACAGGATTCTTGGAGAACTAGGTAATTTCTTGAACTGGGAAGGAAATACAAAGAGCCTGAACATCTTACCATCCCAGAAAATAGGAAACTGTCAAAGATTACTAGAGTTGTTTCCAAAGGACTCAAGAGCATCTAAGAATCTGAATAAGCCCCTACTTGGCCAGTTTTGGAAAACTGAAGCATCAATAAGAATAATAAATGTGTATCCTGCTACATTGCCTAATCATTTATTAAGTAATAGTTTTTTGATGGAGTCTTTAGGGTTTTTTATGTATAATATGTCATCTGCGAATAAAGACAGTTTTACTTCTTCTTTTCCAATTTGGATGCCTTTTATTTCTTCTTCTTGTCTAATCACAATGGCTAATACTTCCAGTACTATGTCGAACAGGAGTGGTGAGAGTGGGCATCCCTGTCTTGTTCCTGTTCTTAGGGGAAATGGTTTTAGTTTTTGCCCATTGAGTATGATGTTGGTTTGTCATATATGGCCTTTATTATGTTGAGGTATGATCCTTCTATTCCCACCTTGCTGAGAGTTTTTTATCAAAAATGGGTGTTGGATTTTGTCAAATGCTTTTTCTGCATCAATTGATATGACTATGTGGTTTTTTTCTCTCAATTTGTTTATGTGATGTATCACATTTATTGATTTGCGGATACTGTACCATCCTTGCATCCCTGGGATAAATCCTACTTGGTCATGGTGTATGATCTTTCTGATGTACTGCTGGATCCGATTTGCTAGGATTTTGTTGAGGAATTAATGCCAAGAAATCTATGGCATTTCTATACACCAATAGTGAACTTACAGAAAGAGAGACTCAAAAAAAGCAATCCCATTTACCATCACACCAAAAAAAATTAAGATACCTAGGAATAAACTAAACAGGTAAAAGACCTCTACTCAGAAAACTACAGGACATTGAAAAAAGAGATAGAGGAAGACATAAACAGATGGAAGAATATACCATGTTCATGGATTGGTAGAATCAACATCATTAAAATGTCCATACTACCCAAAGCAATCTATAAATTCAACGCACTCCCCATTAAAATACCAATGGCATTTATTTCACAGACCTAGAATGAACTCTCCAAAAATTCATCTGGAATTTTTTTCAAAAGACCCCAAATAGCTGCAGCAATCCTGAGAAAGAAGAACAAAGTAGGTGGGATCTCAATACAAGATATCAAGCTGTATTACAAAGCCACTGTTCTCAAAACTGCTTGGTACTGGCACAAGAACAGACATATAGATCAATGGAATAGAATAGAAAACCCAGAAATCGACCCGAACCAATATGCTCAATTAATATTTGACAAAGGAGGCAAGAACATACAATGGACTCAAGATAGTCTCTTCAATAAATGGTGTTGGGAAAATTGGACAGATACATGCAAAAAAATGAAACTAGTCCACCAACTTATACCATACACAAAAATAAACTCAAAATGGATAAAGGACTTAAATGTAAGAAGGGAAACCATAAAAATACTAGAGGAATCCAAAAGCAAAAAAATTTCAGACATATGCCGAAGCAATTTCTTCACTGATACAGCTCCTAGGGCACTGGAAACTAAAGAGAAAATAAGTGGGACTACATCAAAATAAAAAGCTTCTGCACAGCAAAAGAAACGAACAAAACAACAAAAAAGCCCACTGCATGGGAGAACTTATTTGCCAATGTTATCACCGATAAGGGTTTAATCCCCAATATTTATAGGGAACTCATACAACTTAACAAAAGGAAGATAAACAATCCAATAAAAAAAAATGGGCAAAGGACCTAAACAGACACTTTTCAAAAGAGGACATTCAGAAAGCCAAGAGACATATGAAAACATGCTCAAAGTCACTAATCATCTGAGAGATGCAAATCAAAACAACAATGAGGTACCATCTCACACCTGTCAGAATGGCTATCATCAACAAATCAAAAAACGACAAGTGCTGGAGAGGATGCGGAGAAAAAGGAACACTTGTGCACTGCTGATGGGAATGCAGACTGGTGCAGCCACTATGGAAGACAGTATGGAGTTTCCTCAAAAAACTAAAAATGGAACTCCCATTTGACCCTGTGATCTCACTTCTAGGAATATATCCCAAGAAACCAGAAACACAATCAGAAAGGATATATGCACCCATATGTTCATAGCAGCACAATTCACCATAGCTAAGATCTGGAAACAGCCTAAGTGCCCATCAGCAGATGAATGGATTAGAAAACTATGGTACATCTACACGATGGAATACTATGCTGCTGTAAAAAAGAAGGAATTCTTACCATTTGCAACAGCATGGATGGAACTGGAGAGCATTATGCTAAGTGAAATAAGCCAGTCAATGAAAGAAAAATACCACATGATCTCACTCATTTATGGATAATTAAGACCATTATAAACTGGTGAACAAAAATAGATACAGAGGCAGAGCAGCATCGAACAGACTGTCAAACTACAGCGGGAAGGCCAGGGAGGGTTGGGGGAGGTGGGGGTAAGAGATCAACCGAAGGACTTGTATGCATGTATATAAGCATAACCAATGGACACAAGACACTGGGGGTAGGGGAGGCCGAGGGAATGTCAAAGGGAGGGGGAAAAAAGGAGACATATGTAATACTCTTTGTAATAATTTAAGCAATAAAACAAAAATTTTTTTAAAAAAGAATAATAAATGTGCTCTAGCCAGTTTGGCTTAGTGGATAGAGTGTTGGCCTGTGGACAGAAGGGTCCTGGGTTCAATTCTGGTCAAGGGCACGTACCTCAGTTGCAGGCTCCTCCCCAACCTGGGCTTGGTAGGGGCTTGTGCAGGAGGCAACCAATTGATGTGAGAGAAACATATTTCTCTCTGTCTTTCCCTCTCTCTTCCACTCTCTCTAAAAATCAATGGAAAAATATCCTTGGGTGAGAATTAAAAAGAATAATAAATGCAATGAACTGAAATTCATCCAATTTGTTAAATATCAGTTCATAATGGTAAAAAAATAAAGAAAGAAAGAAGCTCCTTAAGAGAATCCTAAGGAACCCACTGATTATTCTGAAAATTGGTAAATAAAGGAAAAGAATTAAACCTTTAACATACCTTTTCTGTAAAAACTGTATTTCAGGGTAACCAAATAGTTGAGGAAAAGTTTTTTGTTGTTTTTTGAGTACTCCAGAAATGAAGTAATAATAAAATTAGAACCCTGCCATTATGCAACACCTAAAGAAATTATCTAAGGAATCATTATCAATGGGTCCATAAAAATTATAAAGAGAGACAATCAGGTACTATGTATCTCCTGACAGCATTACACTGCACTACCTATATTCTTGCCCAAAACAATCAAACCTGAATCAGATTGAACTGTAGATCAGTCTATAGAAAGTTCAAAGGCAGAGGAACTTGTTAAAAAGCATCATGGGAATGGAATAAAAACTATGGAAAACTCCAAAGGAAAATGACCCAATTTCATCAACAAATAAATTGCAAGGAAAAAATATGGGGTGGGAGGTAGGGAGCTTTCAATGAGCAGAGATGTAAAAGACATAATAAAAGGCTGTGTTTGCCCCTTGTTTGGGTTCTGATTCAAACAAACCAACAGTAAAAATTAAATAAAAATATTAGACAATGGGAGGAATTGGGGTAGTTAATATTAAGAAATTATTGTTGGTATTTTAAGGTATGATAATGATATTGTGTTTATATCTTAGTGATGCATACTGAAATAAATATTTGTAGATAAAGTAATACCAGCCATAACCTCCTGGTTCATAGGTCGACACTCAACCACTGAGCCACGCTGGCCAAGCTAATATGCCTCAGTTTTTTCAAAAATGTTGTCATCCTTCACTTCTCCAAACTTCCTTACTATTTAGCATTTATTTGTATGCATTTTCCTGTGTTTACTAGTTCATGCTTATAACTTTCTATACTTATATTTAAGTATTGGCATTTGTTTTTTCTCTCTCTCTCTTTCCCATTTTGTTATAAATTTTGTGAAGGCAGTTTTTTACTGCCTTCTAAATATACCCAATGGCTCATCTAATGTTTAATTCATCAGCATATATTTAATGATCACTGGTTATATCTGCAGTGCTAAGCTATGTATAACAGCAATAAGATTTTCAACTGGCAACAATGAACCTGTGATTTGAAAAAGCTTATTTTGTGTTACTTTAGATTTACTTTAATGAACTCAAAATAAGTCCAAAATTATTATATTTTTATTATTTAGAAACCAACTTCGATCCAGCAGAATGGGGTAGTAAGGTGGACGACCGCTTCTATAACAACCATGCATTCAAGGTATGGTCCTGTGAAACTAATGGATTTGGTTATTTCTTTTCCCTGTCTCCAAAACAGAGATTATTGGGATCTCCCCAGACTCATATAAATTGTGAGAGGCACCCAAAATATCTTATTAAAGCTTCTTAATTGTAATGTTCCTTCTGATGAGACATTCTTTTCTAAAGTATCTGAATCATACCAGATACATAGTGTAAATTTAAAGATGATCAACAGGAAGAATGTAGTCGAAGTTAAAGGATAATTAGTCTCATTTATTCAAATTCTATTGGGCATCAGTGCTTAGCAGTAGCAGATGATAAGTATTTGTTGAATTAATGAATATTTCATAAAATAAAACACTATTCGTCCAATTATTTCATTGTCATTGCACTTACAAAAGCCTGACTAGAATTAAAGATGGTAATAGTAGATAGAATTTTCTGTATAAAGCTAATCTGTTCAGAGACTAAACCTATCTTCTCTTTACTGGTTCTTAGAACCAGTCTTTCTCCATCAAGGTTCCTTAACACAATTAAGCCCTAAGTGGAAGGCACGCATTTCATGTAAGGAATCAATGTCTCTCCTTTGTATCAAGAATGTTTCATCATTTCACCATAGTTAATGCATCATTTTGAAGAGAATTGAGACAATAATTACTCAAAATATTCTGTGTTCTGTGGGCCAGATAAGAAATACTGGTTGAGAAAGGCTGTGTGGAATGCAGCATTATTGTCATCAACTAAGAACTTGGTAGAAATTCAGTATAGGGCCCTACCCCAGGTCTACAAATCAGAAGTTGAATTTTAACAAGATCCCCAAAGGTAAAATGTAGGTACATTAAAGTCTGAGAACGCACTACTCTAGACGGCTGTGATAAACCATTAGCCACAAAGCACCCACACATATTTGAATTAAAAGGAATTAACACAGTTCAAGTTTTGATGGTTTTCCACAGTAGATTTGGGGAATTTCCTGGGGAAATATCTGTCACCTATTCCATGAGTTCAGAAGTGAGTTTCCATCCATTTGTGCCTGCCAGATAAGATAAATGTTCTGTTTATTTCCATTTAACTGGATTCTCTGTGTTCATGCTTTATTGGAATCAAAGGAAAATGTTGAAAATTTTAAAATATTGGTGCCATATCAGCTCTTTCTTCTCTTTTGAATTCTAAAGACTTCATTTGATTAGCCTATTTGTCCTTTCTATTTTATGGATTAAGGAAGCTGTTCCCATAAGTTGGGAATTAGCAATGTCTCTATTTTGGAAAAAGATTCCATAACCATGTAAAAGCAGGCAGAGCTGGCTTCCGTTTTTCTATTTAAATCATCCCCCACAACAAAACTTACTCTTTTGACTTAGATTTAAATCTACAAACTTCATTAAAAAGTCAACTGGATTCCACACTATGCAACACAGTGACATTTATTTTGTTTCTATTTTAGAAACTATTGGCACCTCTTTTTTATACTTTGCTCAGGATTCATTACAGCATCCCATCAACCTTTAGTATAAGACAATGGTTTGTTCTGAATATAAAACAATGTCACATACTTTCCAAAGCAAACATTTTTTACCAGTTCCTTCATCTTTAATACTTATGCATATTCCCTTGAGAGTTTTCATTTATTTATTCTTTTGCCACCCATTTTCCTTATTAAAAATCAGTATGTATTTAATTACCACTTCTTCTCAATAACTTAACGTAATATTTAATTACCTTTAAGCAGCTTGATCCAAGACTACTATTTTTTGAAACATTGCCTATTGGTCCTCTCCCCTCTCTCTCCAGGAGCAAGAACCAGCTGAGAAAGAAAAGTCTCAGGCATCTGAGAAAGTGGAGACACCAGTCACAGCCTTAGTAAGTTCAATTTTCCATGCACTACAGGAGAGAACATCACTCAATTTATAATCATACTCTAAATATGAATCTAGTCTGTTATCCATGTTAAAATTGTGATTTTGCTTTCTAGATAACTAACATCAGTAATAAACTAACTGGCGGGTCATTTTTAGTCATGCCTCTTATAAAGAAAAATTCATTCTTCCCTTTAAAAATAAAATCTTATTTCCCAAAATTATCAACAGATGGAAAAATCTCCTTAAGGGGAAGAGCAGGCAGAACTCACCAGCCTCATGCTTGACCCTTCAGATTCACTTTCCAATTTGGGAGCTTTTCGCTCAGTGATGCTGTTACCACCACACAGGGGCAAAGGTTCCGAGATGACAAAGGAAACTCACAGGGAATTATGCAACCAAATGAAATGGCTCTCTGCAAGCCATGTGTCTTACCTTCCATGCATTGCCCTCTACAAAAACACTTCCTGCCTGACACCCACATCTAAGGAGGAGACCTGGCCAACCAGATCTCTGCCTTAAGCTCATACCATATGAGTCCTGTATTCCCTGGTGCGCTAGGGCCAGTTCTCAGCTCTCCACAACCCTGTGCTTGGTAATGTCACTTTGGTAGCTTGAAATCAGCCATAGGAGGAATATTAAGACCATGACAAATGGAATGAATCAGGACTTTTTTTCCTGGAGAGCCAGTTTTTCAGCATTTACCAGCATATCACTTTCTATAATGTTCATAGTCCAGACGCAAGAGGACCAAGCTAGTGAGAAAGAAGAGCTCACTCCCCAATGTTGAAGGCCAGGCTTTTGAGTTCCTTTTCATGTCCCAGTTGGTTACCCAGTAATTGACACCTAAAATGACATCCCCCTCAAGGAATGCCTTACTTCCTGCCCAGTGGGGCATGACTTTTCCCTATAACCTTTATAAATTATTCCAGAATTATATCAGGACAACTTAGCCTAACATTGGCTCAGGATGCAGTGGGAGGGCGGGAAAGAAGGAAGGGAGTTTTGTTTACATCTTCACTAGGTGCCCTTTCACAGCTTTTCATGAGTTTGAGCTGAGATCCCATTGATTTCCAACTTCAGGATAATTTACTTGTCCATATTGAGCCATCATCTCAGAGGACTTTATACCATTTTGTTTGCATTTAAAACTTTAAGAGCCCTAGCTGGTGTGGTTCAGTGGTTGGAGCGTCCACCTGTGCACTGAAGGTCACAGGTTCAATTCCTGGTCAGGGGCACATAACCTGGGCTGCAGGTTTAATCCCCAGCCCCTGGTGGGGGGCACGTGTGGGAGGCAACCAATCAATGTGTCTCTCTTACATTAATGTCTCTCTCTCTCTCTCTCTCTCTCTCTCTCTCTCTCTCTCTCTCTCTCTCCCCCTCTCCCCCCCCTCCTTCCCCGTCCCTCCTTCCCTCGTCCTTCTTTCCCCCTTCTCACTCTCTCTAAAAGTCTAAAAGTCAATGGAAAAAATATTCTGGAGTGAGGATTAACAACAAAAATAAGAGCTAGATTTGCCTCAATATTGTATAGAGGAAGAGGAGCGGTAAACAACCCAGAGGTCTGTCAATAGGAGGCTGAGTAAATAAGTCAGCGCCCACCAGTACAATGTAATACAATGGCGTTATGGGAAAAAAAGAATGAGCAGAATTATATCCTGAATAATAGCATAGATGAAGGGAACCAAGCTATGTCGTTAGATGGGAGAAAACTTTCACTACCAGTGATAAGTTTTAAATGTGTGTATCACTTTTATAATTTAAAATATCAAAACCTATTGAATTATACACTTAAGATCTGTGCATTTCACTGTCTGTAAATTACACCTAAATTTAATAAACAAACAAACCAAAATCTAGATACAAAAGTTAAACCAGTCCTAGTCAGTTTGGCTCAGTGGATAGAGCTTGTGGTCCAAAGGGTCCCGGGTTCGATTCCAGTCAAGGACATGTACCTTGGTTGCGGGCTCTTCCCCTGGTCGGGGTGCGTGCAGGAGGCAACCAATCAATGTGTTTTCTCTTACATAAATGTTTCTCTCTGTCTTTCCCTCTCTCTTCCACTCTCCCTAAAAATCAATGAAGAAATATCCTCCGTTGAGGATTAACAAAAAACAACAACAACAAAAACACACCCACAAAAGTTAAACCAATCATACTGAAACTGACATTATTGGACTAAGTAGGTTTCTCTCTGGAACTCAAAATGTGTGCTTTTGGTTAGCTAGTTATTGAGAAATTAAGAAATTAACACTAATTCATCTTATGTAATCACGATTATTTTGAAACAGCACATTTGCTATTCTTCTTGACATTTTTACCATGCTTCAAGGATTCTAACTTACCCCCCTGCCCAAAAATGTTATTGCTCAGGAAACTGTTAAATAGGAGCTATTTTGGAGGGAAAACGTTGGCAACCATGATTTAATGTAGAGACATATTAAAGAATGACAAAACACAATGCCTTTTATTTTGGCATTTATCATTTGGTGCATAGACAACATGACAATATATATATTTATATAAAATTCCCTCAGGAAATAACATATCTTGATGGTTACATCCCTAAATTGGTTAAATGTATGCACTATTTTTTGTATGCATTCTTTTTTATGGCATCAAAATACTGTATGGGGCCCTGGATGGTGTTGCTCGGTTGGTTGGGAGCTGTCCTGTGCACCAAAAGTTTGCCGGTTTGATTCCCAGTCAGGGCATGTGCCTGGGTAGAAGGTTCAATCCCTGGTAGGGGACATACAGGAGGCAGCCAATCCACGTTCCACTCTCATATCAATATTTCTCTCTCTCTCTCTCCCTCTCCCTTCCCCCTTCTCTGAAAATAAAAATATATATATATATTTTTTTTAATAAAATTTAAAAGTGAAAAATCTTTAAAAAATACTGTATGGGACGTTTATAAAGTCTCTTTTTCTCCTTTCCCTGAAGGACTCTCCAGATGAAAATAAGGAAAAAGAGGAGCTGGCTGCTGTCAAAATCCAAGCACTGTTCCGGGGACACTTAGCCAGAGAGGAGGTGAAGAAAATGAAACAAGAGGAGCTTGAAGAGAAAACACAGGAAGACAACTGAGGAGACCGGTTTTGCCCCCCAGAAAACATGAAAAAAGAATTCAAATCCATCAACCATGTTGTGATTGTCGTTTTTTCTTAGCAAGGGAGATTCCATGTAGTGGAATAACACTGGCTGCTGTTGTGAAAATCTGTCATGAGCATTGTTTAATAAACATGCCATTGAACACATGCCTCTTGAAGATTTCCCTGAGATCATAAGTCTTATTTATACTTCCCCGAGTCTATGTATAGAGACCCTTGGATTTAGAACTGGAGTGTGTGAGTTTTCAGAGATCTCAGAGGTTATGTGGTCTAACCATTATCTAACGAACAAGTCCTCTCTACCACTTCCCGGACCGTGGTCTTTTCGCTCCTGTTTCACGCATAGTGATAGAGACTCTCACTGCCTTTCAAGGGTAGTCCAGTTAATTTTAGAATAACTTGAATTATTAGAAGATAAGCTGAGTCAAAAATCTGCCTCCTTGTAAGTTTTCATCTGGCATGCCTGCATTCAGTCATTCATTAAAAACTGTATTGAGCAGAATTCATGTGCTGGGGTTTGGTGGTGAATATCTGTTCTTACATTTATGCAGCTGACAGTTTTTTATTATCTTGCTCTCCAGAACGACACAATAAAACTAGTGCATCATATTTGAAAAAAATGAAAGCTATCATAACTTCATAAAAATATTTTTATTTTTATTTTTTTAAATATATTTTTATTGATTTTTTACAGAGAGGAAGGGAGAGAGATAGAGAGTTAGAAACATCGATGAGAGAGAAACATCGATCAGCTGCCTCCTGCACATCTCCTACTGGGGATGTGCCCGCAACCCAGGTACATGCCCTTGACCGGAATCGAACCTGGGACCTTTCAGTCCGCAGGCTGACACTCTATCCACTGAGCCAAACCGGTTTCGGCCATAAAAATATTTTTATTGATTTCAGAGAGGAAGGGAGAGGGAGAGAGAAACATCAAAGATGAGAGAGAATTATTGATCGGCTGCTTCCTGCCATGCCCCCTATTAGGGATCAAGCCCACAACCCGGGCATGTGCCCTGACTGCGAATCGAACCGTGACCTCCTGGTGCATAGGTTGACACTCAACCACCGAGCCACGCCAGCCGGGCCTCCCACATTTCTTTAATGTAGAAATGGTAATACCTTCATCACAAAATCACAAACTTCGGCAAACCAAGCCTGGTGCCTTATTTTTAGAAAGTTCAATGTCTCCTTTTTGAGGCCTCCCCACTCCTGAATATTCAAGAAACTGCCAGACTCGTGTCTTACACCAAAAGATACAGTTCCTTTCCCAAAAGAAAATGGAGAGAAAGTAGACTCTTCCCATACAATGCTGCTGCCGTCTACCACAAAGATGCAGCCTCGTCAGGCAGACTGACGTGGTGTCCTGGCTGGTTCGGGTTCCTGTCTGCACTGCATTGCACGTCCTGGGCATGGGTGCTAGCTAAAGTGGATATTAGAGATATCCACTGGACCCCTTCCTTCCATCCTTAATGCCCCTCTCCCAGATTTGGAGAAAAAAAATCCAGCTGCTCATTCCTATGGCATTCAAAGAACCAGCCTCCAACCCCATTTCTTCTCAAAGCCATCCTGCTTGGGGGATTATCAACGGGACCCAGAATTTCTGTAATGCAAAGACTTCCTAGTCCTGAAAAGCAGACCAGAAGAAAAAGGACTTTTTCCCCTAGTGCAGTGATGGCGAACCTTTGAGCTCAGTGTGTCAGCATTTTGAAAAACCCTAACTTAACTCTGGTGCCATGTCACATATAGAAATTTTTTGATATTTGCAACCATAGTAAAACAAAGACTTATATTTTTGATATTTATTTTATATATTTAAATGCCATTTAACAAAGAAAAATCAACCAAAAAAATGAGTTCGCGTGTCACCTCTGACATGCGTGTCATAGGTTCGCCATCACTGCCCTAGTCTATGTTCTGTCTCTCTGGATTCACCTGTTCTGAACATTTCATATAAGTGGAATCAGACAATATGTCGCCTTTTGTGTCTGGCTTATCTAACTTAGCATCATGTTTTCAAGGTTTCACTTAGTATAAATAGGATGTTTCAGAACTTCATCCCTTTTTATAGCTGAACTAGAGGCCCGATGCATGAAAGTCGGCCCTCGCAGCCCCAGTTTAGTCCGGAAGGTCGTCCAGAAGGTCCTTCGGCCATCCAGTCTAATTAGCACAAGCAGGAAAAGCCAAAATAGAAGAATATTTCAAGCTTTTACTCATAATACTTCCATGGACAGTTCATTCACCAAAGAAAGTCACTTGACCAAGCCCAAAGTCAAGAGGTGAGGAACACACTGCTCACCATGCAATCATAGCAGCGACCTCATGTGCCCATAACGCTACTAGAGGGTAGTGAAAATTTGTGAAGAACCAGTAATTCAACTGAGTGCAGTTTGCTCTTCCTTTTCACGTGCAAAATACATTCACTCCTTTCCCAAGACCCCTGAAAGGTCCACCAAAACCTTGAAATGCAGGATATACATTAGGTCCAGATACGGCTGTTCTTGATGTCCTGCTGTCCTTCTGCCTTTAAACACGACATCATTCCCTTTTGCTGTTGTTCTCAAACCAACTAAACAGTGACTTTCCTAATTTCTCCATAAAATTCGCCCAGTAGTTTCTCTTGATTCCTCATATCAACTTGAGTTTTCTAACATTTGGAAGCTTTTCACCAGGAACCACATTTTCTTAAAACTGTGGGCTTTCTTCCTGTAAAATCATTCCCATGTTCTTGCTTACTGGGAAGGAGAGGAGGCCATACAGGAGCCAGCTACTAATTTCCTACATGCAGCTCTCTTGGCCTGAGGATATGTCTAAAGAGCACGTTACACGCATAGGACTAGGGTTTTCATTTGGGTTTTCATTTTTAGTCCTATTTTCCTCTCCCTGATCAAATATTAAAATGAGAGAGATCATGGTCACTTAGCTACCACTTTGGGCCCAACATCAGATTTTTCTGGGGTGGCCATATGTATCTGTAATAAACATATAGCGATGACCCATTTTGTACCAATTTGTGATGTGGATAAACTCATTTGCAAGCTGAAGTGCTTTTGACAAATATAGCCACTGGGAGTGACACTTATGCCTGGGAGGCTCTCAGAAGAGACCAAACAGGCAAAACACAATACTTCAGAATGTGACCTTATTTTTGTGAATGAGATTTTCTTGGGAATAAGCAGTGTGTTTTTTTTGTGTGTAGAGCCAAAAATAAAAGCCTGCTGGGTGGTGACGTTATTGTAACTAACATCTTACGTGTCATCACACGCATTACTAGTCGCCCTAGCAAAGAATTATCAACATTCCAAGACCAAGAGGTCACCATGGGAAGTGTATAAACATACTGTCCTTAAAGGTCAGATATAATATGAAGTCTGCCGTTACTCTATCCCCGAAGACACCTGACTCAGAGGTTTCTGACCAAGCATTTAATAGTTTATTACTAAAACGAAGGGCTCAGTTTGATAAACCAGATATTAAACCAATTTTGAAAGGTATCAGGAAAACTTGTTTATTTGAAATCCTGAAACAATAGAAAATATGCTTGCAGTGCTATCCCAATCATGAATTTAGAATCCCTTGCTTTTATTTATTTATTTTTATAAAAAATGTATTTTTAGTGATTTTAGAGAGGAAGATAGAAACATCAATGATGAGAGAGAATCATTGATTGGCTGCCTCCTGCGTGGCCCTTACTGGGGATCGAGCCCGCAACCTGGGCATGTGTCCTGACCAGGAATCAGGCAGCTGGTCGATGTTTCTCTCTCATCGATGTTTCTAACTCTCTATCTCTCTCCCTTCCTCTCTGTAAAAAATCAATAAAATATATTTTTAAAAAATGTATTTTTAGTGATTTTAGAGAGGAAGATAGAAACATCAATGATGAGAGAGAATCATTGATTGGCTGCCTCCTGCGTGGTCCTTACTGGGGATCGAGCCCGCAACCTGGGCATGTGTCCTGACCAGGAATCAAACCATGACCTCCTGGTTCATAGGACGCTCAACCACTGAGCCATGCTGGCCGCAAGCTAGAGTCCTTTGCTTTTAGATTGCTTGGGTAGTGTCATGAAGGCTGTGGTGTGCTGCCCAGATCTGCCCTCTTTTTCAGAACTAAAGGCTACACCCTTTCTAGGAATTGCCTTCAGCATTAGGGAGTGGGTCATCTTGGGTTTTACCCTCACTGGAGGCAGCTTGTATCTAAGGACAAGTCACTGCTGTGGTAAAAGGGTTTGGCCCCTTGCCTCAAATTGAGACAGCTCTACTCTCAGCCATAGGATTTATTACAGTTCAACTTCACCCTCTATCCAGTCCTGCTTCCCTACTATCCTTACATGTATTGTTCCTGAATGCCCTCTCCAAAAAACCACCTCTACTCAAACTCTTCAAACCATTGGTCTCAAAAACCATTCCCAGCAACCTGACCTATGACAGGTAAATTGAAAATCTCTGACATACCTGCACATTTAAAAACTCTTTGCTTCCTCTAATATCATCTATCCAAAAACTCAGTGATGGGCATACCTGCTGGTCAGGGGCTAATTTATAATAAATATATATTTATATTTCTTCTCTAATTGAATTATAATTACCAAAATTCCAAATAGTAATACTATGTACTGAACGGTGTCTCCAAAATTCATATATTGAAGCCCTAACAGTTAATGTGATGGCATTTGGATATGAGATCTTTGGGAGATGATTAGGTTTAGATGAGGTAATGAGGGTGGGGTCTTCATGATAGAATTAGTGCCCTTTTAAAAAGAAACACCAGAAATTCTCTTCCCGACATCTCTCCTTTCCCCCACTCTACTAGAATGAAGAGCTAATGGTAAGGGCTAAGGGTTAACTGATGATCAAATATTAAAATGAGAGAAACAATGATCACCTAGCTGCCACTTTGGTCTAATATCAGATTTTTCTGGGGTAGCCATTTCCTGACTATTCAGTATCACTTCCACCTTCTCCCTTTCTACTAGTACCTAGCTTTTATTTTTGGTTTCTACCCTTTGTAAACATAGACCAAGAGTTGACACAGCTCTAGAGATACAGTGGGGCCTTGACTTACGAGTTTAATTCCTTCCGAGACCGAGCTCGTTAAGAAGCTTGTTAACTCAAATTACTCTATCAACTCAATGCAAAAAATCGGCGGA